GGAGGCCAACCCATTATCACAGCTCAGAGCCTAGCTTTAACTCCCTCACCTCCACACACACACACACACACACACACACACACACACACACACACACACAGACTTTCTCCCTGTGAATCTTCAGAGTGGGTTTAACAATCCAAAACCTGAAGAAAGAAAATAGGTCAGACTTCTCACAGTCTGTTTTTCTGCATGACTCTCTTGGAAAGTACCCCACGAAGCTGCAAAGTACTTCAGCAGGACTTCCACTGATATCATGAAAAAAACAAGGCTACATAGAGGGATGTTTTCTACATATTCTGAAACATAAACCCAGTGTGGCTGTTTTATTAATGCTGTTTAAGCATAAATATTTTGGAGGTAGAGAGTTTGTCTTTTGACAAGGTTTGGCTGGACTGTGTTCCCCAGCTGAGCAATGACAAAGTCACATACTGCTGATAAGAAGTTCATTGCTCCCAGTAGAGAAGGGAGGGGAGAGGAGGTCAATGTCTTTGTTAATGTTTTGGAGGAACACATTATGTAGAACTACTGTGTCTGTTTTAATTACAAACTGCTGTGTAATAGAACCAGTGTTGAGAGAGAGAGGAAGAAATATACGAGACACATGGGACGAGTTGTTAGAGAGCACTGATAAAAGCTACAGCATAGGCTCTGACTGGCATGAAGAATAAACAGCATCTTTCTTGATTCCATATAAAATCAAAATAATCCAGCTGGAACACGATAGGTTAGGGACTAAACAGCCAATAAATATAAGTTACAGTTTTTCTCATGAAATCTTTGCAAATGATTTCTTTTTAAGAAATTCTCAAAATGTGGTAAGGATAATATTAATCATATAAAATATTTTTTTTACTGATTTTTTATGTTTGTTAGTTTGTTTATTTGTGAATGTTACTGAATATCATAATGATGTAGTATTGGTCATGATTTATCATTGCTCATAACCTTAACCCTATTCTTATTCTATCAGAATATATGTGTACACTACCAGTGTATTTGTATATGATTTATAGTAAAGTGCAAAGTTTGGACACACCTTCTAGTTTAATGATTTGTCTTTGTTTTTACTACTTCCTAGCAATATATAAACATAATTAAGTAACTCTAAATATGTGTTATATTTTAGATTCCTCAAAGTAGCCACCCTTTGTTTTGTTGACAGCGCTGCAAACCCATGACCTTCTCTCAATGAGCTTCATGATGCAGTCACCTGAAATGGTTTTCACCTCACAGGTGTGGCTTGTAAGGGTTCATTTGTGGAATTTCTTGCCTTCTTAATGGGGCTGGGACCATCAGTTGTGTTGTGTCAGGTTGGTACACAGCTGACAGCCCTATTTGACAACTGTTAAAATCCATATTATGTCAAGAACCAATCAGCTAAGTAAAGAGAAACGACAGTCCATCATTACTTCAAGCACTGAAGGTCAGTCTGTCTGGAAAATTTCTAAAACGCTGAATGTGTCCCCAAGTGCAGTCGCAAAAACCATCAAGCGCTATGATGAAACTGGCTCACATGAGGACTGATCCAGGAGAGGAAGCCCAAGAGTCACCTCTGCTGTTTAGGATAAATTCATCTGAGTCACCAGCCTCAGAATTAGGCTCAGATTAGATTAGAGGCCAGATAAATGCCACACAAAGGTCCAGTAGCAGTCACATCTCTACATCAACTGTACAGAGGAGACTGTGTGAATCAGGCTTTTATGGTCAAATAGATGCTAAGAAACCATTAAGGAAAAGCAACAAGCAGAAGAGATTTGTTTGCATCAATGGAAATCTGCGCTTTGGTGTGGTGAGTCCCAGTTTGAGATCTCTGGTTCCACCTGTCGTGTCTTTGTGTGAAGCAGATAAGGTGAATGATGGTCTCTACATGCATGGTTCCCACCGTGAAGCATGGAGGAGGAGGTGTTATGGTGTGGGGGTGCTTTGCTGGTGGCATTGTTGGGATTTATACAAAATTGAAGGCCCACTCACCCAGCATGGCTACCACAGCCTCCTGCAGCGACATGCATCCCATCCAGTTTGCGTTTAGTCGGACCATTATTTATTTTTCAACTGGACAATGACCCCATATACACACTTGGGGCTGTGTAAGGGCTATTTGGAGCAAGGAGGGGAGTGCTGGAGTGCTGTGCCAGATGGCGTGGCCTCTACAGTCACCTGGCCTAAACCAAATCAAGATGGTTTGGGATGAAATGGAGGCAGAATGAAGGCAAAAGGGCCAACAAGTGCTCAACATCTCTGAGAACTCCTTCAAGACTGTTGGAAAACCATTTCAGGTGATGACCTCATGAAGCTCATCGAGAGAATGCCAAGAGTGTGCAAAGCAGTAATCAAAGCAAAGGGAGGCTATTCTGCTCAGTATGTTTTGCAAAAATTTAGTTTTTTTGGTTTTCTCCAAAATATCCGGCTGGTGTTTGAGTTTAAAGCTAGGATTGGGATCGTGACTGATGATGACTTAGACCTCCGAAAGCATTTAGTCAGATGACCTTGAATCCTCCCTTAGTTATGCTGCAATAGGTGTAGTCTGCTGGGGGATTCCCATTGAGTGTTTTTTCTTCAGTCGCCTTTCTCACTCACTATGTGTTAATAGACCTCTCTGCATTGAATCATACTTGTTATTGATCTCTGTCTCTCTTCCACAGCATGTCTTTATCCTGTCTTCCTTCTCTCACCCCAACTGGTTGCGGCAGATGGCCCCGCCCCTCCCTGAGCCTGATGCAATGCATCACGACTTGTTGTGATTTTGAGCTACATAAAAAATTTGATTTGAACTGAAATGAATTGAACTGAATATCATTTTCAAGCTGAAACACTTCCTGTGAGTTTAAAGTACGTGTATTCACTCAGTTGCTAAAACTGTCAAAAGTAAGGTGAAAAAACAAAATGTGTCCGAGTTCCACTGTAATTTAGTTTAAAATTGCTGAGTTACATAAAACCAAAAATACAATTTGGCAGTGTAATAAGAACAAAGAAACAGGCTGCTCCTCACATAACATCTAACCACGGGGCACGGCTCTACCTGTGTCCTGTGGTTAGAGCTGGAAACAGAAAGTCAGATGATGCAAAGATAAAACAATCATCAGGTGAACTGATCCTCTCCCGGTACAGTAAGGTGATATTCTGACACCCTCCCAACAAAATGAGATTCTTACCCTCTGGCCAAATTCTCCAGGGTTACCGGGTAAACCTTGTTCACCAGGAGGACCCTGAGGAATAAATCACCAAAAATCAAAACCGCAAAACTGGCATGTTAATAAATTGTTGAGCATTGCATCTGATTGTGGGTTTTCAAACAACAGCAACTATCAAAAGTTAAACAGCAGGAAAGCGGAAGAAAGGAAATAATAAATCAGGATCCTTACAGGAGGCCCTGGGTGTCCTTCAGCACCTGGAGGCCCTTGTGGTCCAGGCTCACCCTGAAACAGGTCAAACAAACACGTTTTAATACAATAATAGTGAAAAATTAGTGAAATTAATCATCAAACTTTTCAATACAAGTTTAAACTTTAAAACTTATAAAGTCACGAGTCCAACAGGAGATCCTTTCTATACATTTGGTTGGGTAGTTTATCATGCATTTGATTAAGCAAATTAATATATACTCTTCAATCCATTATTTTCATTTACTGATATCAATATTGGTTAGTTTTACAATTCCAATTTTCATAAAATGCCATATTTCACTTACTTTTCATGCACAAAGCTACATTTTCCAAAGACCAAATACACCAAATTATTCATAAACAGCATATTTTGTGAGGGTTATTTTTATATTGGTGCCCAGATTTTCATGCTGCAGTAACAATCTGCTTTCAGTGAAACTGTTAAACAACTGCTCACCTTCTCACCCCGTAAGCCTTCTGTTTGTACCTGAAATTAAAGCACTGAATAAATAATGACATCCTCACTTGGATTTGTGAAATTCATTGATAGTTACTGTGATGAAAAAGTGTATGTAATTTCTTTTCTCAAAGAAAACAATATATCCATCATTAGTCATTATTAAGCTCATTTTCTTCATCCCATTAAGAGATGTTAAAACTGTTTTTAACCCATCAACTGAAATAATCTATATTTTTAGATATAATAACAAGTGTTGTCAAGTTTCAGCTAAAGTCCTGCGCTTCACTAACAGACACAGTGATCTCGCTTCCTGTCTTTTTATACACTTCAGTTAAAAACACGACGATCGCTCTTTGATGATCTGCTCTGTCTTTAGCAATAATCATTAAAAAATAGTTAAAATGCAACATGTGAGGTTTAAATGCATGCTGCTGTAACCCTGCTATCTTCATCATGACACAAACCTATAATCCTTAAGAGTATAATTCTTATGTACCTTTGGTGTATTTTTGGCACTTACCGCATCCCCAGGTAATCCGGGAAGACCTCTCTCCCCCTGTGACATAGGTCACACAACAAGGACAAACCCATCATTAGAATCAAGAGGCTCTCAGGGCAAAGTCCCTTAAGGGATATGATGACGGCACAGCGACAACCATAATTTATGAGATGAGCTGTGCGGATGCTTACTGCAGGCTAAAAGAAAGTGAAACTTGTGGGTAAAGAACCGCGGCAGCTCTTTGTGCTTGTGTGTGCATTAGTGTGTGTGCAGCTGGGTGTGGTAGAAGCATGTGCGTTCCACTGGAGGAATCATCAAAGTTGGTAATTACAGACAGACAAATGAACTGCGTTTTAGTTTCTCAGACAAATGAGGGGGCAGACTTTGATGGTGCACAGAGGAGACTGAGGAATGTCTGGAGAGAGCAGACAGTAGCTCGGGAAGCTTTTGATAAGTCTTTGAAAGAACTCATATCAGCAGCACTTAATAACATTACACAACAGTATCATCAGCTTGTAATCAGGTGAACAGTGTTCCAAATACAATAAAGGTAAGTGGGTGGGCGTACCTTGTCACCTTTAACCCCGTTGGGCCCAGGTACTCCAGTCAGACCTCTCAAACCCTAATCATAAAAACATAAGCAACAAAAACCTTACCTTAAAACCTTAAAAAAAATACAAAGGTGACGGACCAAATGTGTCACCGACTGATGTCGCCATCAAAAATCAACACTTACATCCTTCCCAGGAAAGCCAGGTTTTCCAGGTAATCCATCAAGACCTGGCTCACCCTGAAATGGGAAAATTACATTTTCTCTTTTAAAATGTAGGCAAAAAGGCAAACTTCAAAACCCAAGATAAAAGAACCTTCGAGTAATGAATAAAGAAGGAAATAAGAAACAAAAAACATAATAGCATAAAATCATAATAGGACAAAAGAATAATAGCTCTTGTAGCTAAATGCCACAATACTGGGGACAGTTTCACATAAGTTAATGCTGACTTAGACATGAAAATGTGTTTTGCTTAATAATATCAAATTTACTTGCATAATAAATTACATCCAGTACTTCCTATACAAAACGTTCTTCACTTGCAATATACAATATCAAGAAAGACCTTCAATAAAAGGTCTACACTACCATCAGGTTCCTCCACCATCACCAAGTATAAGACTTGTTATTAACATGTCCTTTGGGACATCCTAGATATCTCTACATAGTGGCTTTGGTTTGAATCTGACCAACCACAGTCGTGGTTAGTACGGACGTGCTTAATAAAGAACAGCTTTTTCAGTCAGCAAGCACAACTTTAAATCAGTCCTGTGTGTCTCCTCCAAACCACCTATTCCCTTTATCGCTTCACTGAGGTAAGGACTTTGCCAGTACTTTTCAGCTACAGGAAATTGCTTACTGTCTGACTGAACAGCTGATGGACAGCTCTAAAAGGGGTATCAGTTTGTCTGAATGGGCCTATATGTGCTTAGAACCTGCTACTCATCCCCATGCCATACGGCAGAGTGATCAGTGGACTGATTTGATGCACAGTTCTTTATTCGAACCACGTTAAAGACGTTTAGCTTGAAGTTAAAGCTGACCTCTGAACAAGAAACACTGAGTACAAAAACAACTCAACACAAAGCAGCATTAAATAGTTGAAAACAGCTGTTGATTCAGGGAAATAACCTTTCACTGAATTATTAAAAGCCTAAATAACATTCAGTGTGATGGCAAACAGCTCCTAGAAAACCTAAGACATCAACAAAGCTTCAGCGAGCCTGAATGAAGTGCATTATATCCTGTAACGCCCCCACAGAATTCCAGACAGGAAGTGTGGAGAGTAAATCAAGGAAACCACATCTGTTTGCACAATTACGCCTCTCAGTTCTCAATTCCTCTGAGAAGAAAAGTCTCTTTCTGAAAAGTTAAGCCCGTTATCAGGATTTGCAGTATGAGCTGGTGTTCTGCGCAGGTTCAACCTAGAAACGTGGCCCAAATCCCAGGACATGCTGGGAAAGCAAATGAGCTAACTCTCTCGTGACCTTCAGCAACAACTGTTTTAAAGATGTAGCTCGTATCTGCTGCAGCGGAACTGTGTGGCCAAACGATTAGTGGCTGTAGCAGGAGGCCCCCAAGCAGGAATAAGTGAAGAGTGAAGCAACTGTTTAAACTCTATCAGGTTGCCGGTAACCTGGTCAGGTTCACGTCTACCTCTTTATATGGAATTTTCACAAATTTAGTTTACCCAAATGGAAAACTTTAATTGTCATTAAAGTGTATTTAATACACTTTGAAAGATGTGAAAGGTAAAATCTTTTAGTTACTGAAACTGTGTTTGTTGTAGCATGCGGCTACAATGCAACTTCTCCATAAGCCTAAGCCGAAGTGGTTTTAATACGTGACTTACCCTGGTTCCCGGTGTTCCCGTTTCACCTTTTGTACCCGAGTCACCCTATAACAAACCAAAGCAACATAATTATTTTTATAGAAATATATTTCTATAAACTGCCATCAAATCAGACCATCATTT